GATGGCTATGGGAAATGGCAGGGATGCCAGGGCTGATAAGTGACCGAGAGGCTCAAGTTACTTCCAGCTGTCTGCAGCCATGCATGCCTCTGCGGAATGTATGGTTCACGCATAATGCAAACCATTTCATTTGCGTAATGCTCATAAAAAATCTGGCGGACATATTAAATAAAGTCAACAGCCTCTCACTTGGGCAGGGTTTACATCACAGGAAAGAATCTCCAATCCTCCGAGGAGCGGCGCAGTGCGTCCTCAGCTGAGAAAACACAGACAGTTGAAAACTGTGACCTTGCGAGAGATAATGTTAACTGGATCAATAAAACCAGGCGATAGCAGAAATCTGAAAGCATCTGGATAGAGTCTGACTCAGGCTTGGTGGACAATTATGGCAGTCGCAGAGCCGTGCATAGTAAATAGTGTCCACGCGGACCAGTTGGCATTGTTGGCTGTGCTTGTTTTTTTCCCTAAACCATAAAAGACAAATTTCCATATAGACACAGCAAAATAAAGACTATATTTGTCTTCTTGTAATTAAAATGACGGGAAATTAAAGTTAATATAAAATAAGGCCTATAAAAGGTTAATAGTATTTAATACAGGCTGTATTTTTGTGCTGTAAAGCGAGTTACACTGAAAAAGTAGCGCCACGCTGCATTAGCATCACCTCAATACCAGTGAGGGCCTCTTCCTGTCCATTTGGAAAATATAAGTACATTTTCAAGCTGCTGCACACTCTAAAAGGAGAGTGCTTTTGGCAGGCTTTGAAGTTCTCAGAAATAATGCTCCTTAAAAGCATCCCCTGCAATACAGAAAAACATGAACATGTATTTCGGTAAAGAGGCGTGAGCGAGCGCTTCTTAGCAACCATGTAAATCCACGCTGGAGGACTTGGACATGTTTGATGTCTTTCAAGTCTTATAATGTTACACTCTTTGTAGGAGCATTGATTAGCCTTTGCTAAGGCAATAGTCATTCATTCATTCACTCATTCCCTCATTCATTCATTATCTTTACTGGAGACTGTCTGAGGCACCAGGCAGAAATGTGGTTATTCAGTCTGTATTTCACTGAATTACATGTTGTCACAATTCTAGTCTGACATATAGAAATAAACAACACTTATTGCATTAAAGTAAGATGCCTTCATTAAGTAGTCCTTCTGCACATGAACAGTCTTGTCTTGAAAACAGGAGCCTTCTGGAAAAGGATACTACAAATGCAACAAAACACCAGTAAGAAGGAGAAAGGCAGGAATAAAACTTTCTTTTTTCCTTTCTTCCCATCTCTGCGCAGTTTAGTGTTACAGTCTTTCAGTTACACCCTTTAGGCAGTAAAAACTGTCATCTAATCATATCCTCACAGTCTTAAATGCCATATACGCCCATACCAGCCTGGAAAGGGGACCTTTCTGTGGATTAAAACGGATATGAGGTTATTTTTGTAAGATCCATGATTGCACGAGGCACTCCCATCCAGACTTAGGGTGATGACTGAGGAGGTGAGCTAATATGGTACAGCGGTGATGCAAACAAGTTGTGTAAGTTTATCTGGATCCTGCCCTTTGGTTGAAAAGACAAATGTTTTGTCTTTTAAATCTGTTGATCCATATGTGATGTCTGAAAGAAAGTTTGTGCAATGGGGTCCAGTGATCAAAAAAAGATTTCAGGATGTTCAAAAAAATTCTATCATGGATAAATCAACACGATTGATGGATACTGAATGATTTAAAACCCTTGAACCTGTCTTTTTTTTATGAAGACACAAGAAAAAAGGTGGACAACAATGAGTTTAACATATTATGATGATATAAACATGGTGTTATGTGAATAGTAGCATAATAAATATAAAGATATGAGACCACATCTATTATAATCGTTGTTTTGCTCCATCTCCCAAAATTCAATCTCTACAAAACCAAATGGAGACATTCTGCAGAGCTTGTTGGATTAATAAAATAACATGACTTGGGTACACTTCAAAGACAATGAAGTTGGACCTAAATCTCCTAAAGTGAGATAGATGGAAGCAGCGGTAGCACATTGTGTGATCTGACATGTCCTCCGCACACTTTAACTAGCATTATTAGAGAGCTTGACAGGGCGGGTTTGGCCTGGCAAGACATGTTGGACACACTGCAGCAGATCACAGGGAAGACAAGGGAAATGCTATAACACCTCTGAAACAGTGAGGCGAAAACGTGATGAGGGGATGGGAATTACTGCTGAATTAAGCACCACTTTGATTGGAAACTGATTGACCGATGGCTGGCAAAACATGAAAGAATGACCTTGAATTCTCCAAAGCGAGTATGGATTGGCTCACAGCATCTCCCCCCCCCTCCTGCCCACTCTCACTGTCTCTCAACACACACACACACACACACACACACACACACACACACACACACACAGCATCACACAAACACACACTCTTGCAGGAACACACATCACAGGGAAAAACACATACATGGGTATCGACACACACGAGTGCTCCATCTCTGCTTTTTCGCACTCTCTTCAGCGAGAGAGGGGGGGGAAATGAACACACAGTCACGTACGACAAGCCAGAGTTGAGAGAGCAACTTCAAAGTAAGGCAGATGCAGGGACAGCACCCTCTGAATAAATTTTCTGGCCACCAGTCGATCTGCCCCCAGGCTAAGATTGTGGCTGTTCGCATCTCTCCTGACCCCTCATCAACTCCCAGTTAAAACCAATCCGACTCTAACAAGACAGTCATAGAGAGACGGGAGGGAGACTTATAGGTAAATATAAAGGAGGTTAAAAAAAAAGCTTCTTTCAGGTGTTGCAGATGTAAGGAAATTTATTTTGTCTGTTTTTTAAAGCAAAAGCAGAAGTACAGCGTGCTTTGATGAATAAATCTGTGAGAGGGGATTCATAACAACACAAAACACATGAAAGATACCTAAAATGTATAATTTGGTAATCATAGATGTGCGATTATGTCCACAAAATAATCATGTTTTTTTCCCAGCAGCAATCAATTAATGTGCTTTATTTTCATGCCAGCAACCATTTTGTAACAATACCTTTTGTTTTTGAAATGGTGGCTTTCTCACTTTGGAATAAAACATTTCAGATACACTGTATTTTTTTAAATTTATCACATTAGTGTTATATCTCACTGTGCTGTTACAGCTTACTGCGAACAACAGTCAACTTACTGCATGCCAATGGAGTTTAATAGCACCCTGCTGAAACTTAGACGTGTGTGAGAAGTGTCAGTATTTAAGAGATATTCCTCTTCTGCAACTGCTTATGCATGTCATTATTATTTTTCTGTGTTGACTTGTTTTAATATTTGATTTCTTTATTAATCATTCATGAGGCTATGGTGCATGAGCACTGAATATTTGTAATTACACCTGCTGGGACGTGCACAGTCCGTTATACCTCTGACATGTGGTACGTTTAGGAAAAGAAATCTGTATTTTCTCTGTTTTGTTTTGGTTTTGGGTATATAAAACTACATTGTGGGTCAGTGTCAAACTACAGGGTTGCATCATAAATCTGGATGAACAAAATGAACATCTTGTCTGAGCATCATTTGGAAAATGCATTCTCTGCATATTGTTGCCCAGGATAACAATGATATGTACCCTGAGGGCAAATATTCACCTGTGTGTGTGCGTGCAAGTACAAACATGTATTTCTGTGTACAAGAAACCCACTAACAACCCGGTGTGCAATTCATGGAAGATGCAGTATGCAACTGTAGCCTATATATGTTTCTTTTAACCGCATACAAATACACACACTGACGTGCACACACACACACACACAAACACCCAGGAGGAGTGAGGATCTAATGAGGCCCGTGGAGACACTGCTGAATTGTCAGTCAACTCTCAGCTTGCTGACATGCGGCCCACAACATCAATGACTTCTTTTCTCAAACAGGGGAAGCCTGTCGAATTGCATCAGATGTAAAAAGAAGTCTTCGGACTTGGACTGAGAAAAGTGAAAATAGGACGGGTTAAAGAAATGCTCTAAGAGAACTTAACTTATGTGTGTTACACCTTGGAACTTTCCTGCAACTTTCAGCGCTTCGTGAGCAAACACCACACGTCTTTGTCATGCATTTAAAAACACATCTCCAAGTCACGATCAAGATTTATGTTCAGGAACAAAGAAAAAAATAGTTGTAACCACTTCCCTTGTTCTTCCAGGACTGCTTGCAAAACCGGGCCTCCAATCCTGTTCCTCAAATTAACACAATAGGGGCATGTCTTTCAGTCTAGAGAGAGAGAGAGAGAGAGAGAGAGAGAAAAGGCTTGTCCTGTCATAGGAGGCCTGGATGTTCAGAGGCGTGTTGCCTCACTCTGTCGTGCCTACAGTTGTGCCATAATGGGCCACGCTTGCTTATCCCAGGTGTTATTGTCTTTTCCCAGCGCATTGTCTCAGGACACACAGACATGCAATTTACATGGCAGTGTGTAATTATGACTTTCTCACTGAAGCCTGGCCTGTCATTTTCACACACATGGAGGCAGTGTGGTCTCTGCCTGTTGGCCCCTGACACTACTGGTGAAATCAGCTGGTCACACCGCATGGTAGACTGCTGCTCAAGTTTACTTCCACTCTAATAAAAAAAAAAAAGATAATTAGGGAAACACCTCATTAGTGCTTGTTCTCATTTACAATAGGCCCACACAGGCAGCAGTGGCTCATGGGAAGGAGTTCTCCTGTTTTTGATAATAATACTACTACTAATAAGAATACTACTACTAATTATAAAAATACTATTACTACTCCTACTAATAATAATAATAAAAATGATGATGTAATTATTTCATTTGGTTGCTGTATTTCTTCATACATTTGCATTGTGTTAAAATGCCACTTCATTGCTGTGGTGGCTGTGCGTCGGTGGCTTGGGGGGGGGGGGTGAGGAATAGCTGATCTACATGGTGAATGAAGTGTCGGTTTTCAGTGCAAACTCCTCCCCTACGGACGGGCTGCGCTTTTTCTTCCACTTGAACAACCAAGTAGTTTTTCAGGGCGCATTCCCCGGCAGCAATGTGGAGGGAAAGGGCGACCACGTCCAGCTGAAATTTTTTTTTTATACTTTTACATTTTTAATTTTCTCTTTTATAGTTTGTAAACTTTGCGTTTGTTGCGGGGAAAAAAAAAAAGCTGCGAATCGTCGGCTCTGTGCGGGGAAAGCGAGCGAGTTAGAAGTGAAGAGAACTGCAACCAGACCGACTCGTGTTTTTTTGTGTGTGTGTGTGCGTATGTGTGTGTGTTTTCTCGTTTTTTGACTCGAGCCATTGTTTTCTTACACATGGATATTAGGAGATGAAATCGGACGTGTTTCTTGTTCTTGAGTAAACCCCCCTCGGTTCGCTTGGACTGGTAGTTTATGTGGTCCCCGGGCTCTGTAGGAGGAGGAGAGAGTCCCATTCCTCAGCAGCACAACAAGGAGAGACACACAGGGGCCACAAGTTGTCCACAAGCTGCGAAGGAGGCGAAACTTTGCCAAGTTGCTGCGCATCCGGCCGCCGACGCCAAATATTCATCGATATTTTCTACCAGCGCCTCTGCTGCGACTTTAAACTGTGGATTATTATCGCAAGGCTCGACATGGACCACGGGATCCCGGTCAGAGGATGAGAAAGGAGTTTTGAAAACATGCACATTTTCTTGTAGTTAGTTTACTACTCCAGCGACACGTTTGGACTACACCGATCCGAGAAAAAAACAAACAAACAAAAAAGTCAATTGTTTATTGCGATTGTTTTCTCCTCTCCTCGACTAACACTGCTCTGCAAAGATGCCACAGCTGAACGGAGGCGGTGGGGATGATTTGGGGGCCAATGATGAAATGATATCCTTTAAAGACGAAGGGGAGCAGGAGGAAAAGATATCCGAAAACGTATCGGCGGAAAGGGATTTGGATGATGTGAAATCCTCCTTAGTGAACGAGTCGGAAAGCTCATCAGACTCAGAGGTAAGGACACTGCACATATATTAAACGTCCCCCCCCCTCCTTGTACACTGCTCAGCATGGAGAGAAATAAGATTTAATGGTGTTGAAAGTTTCAATAGTTTCTTTTCCCCCTCCGTGTGTTTATTCTCCCCCCTTGGCAGCAAGCAGAGAGGCGCCCCCAAACCAGACCCGACTTAGAAAGTTATGAGAAAGCAAGAGACTACTTCAGTGAAGGTAAAAATTTTTTTTTTAAAAATACATAAAATCCTCAGTACTTTGCGCGCTACAGTTGCCAATAACGTCGCCTGTGTGCCTTTCTTAACCCTGGCTTTTCTTTATCCCTTACAGCACTGAGAAGGCAGCAAGATGGTGGCTTTTTTAAGAGTCCTCACTATCCTGGCTACCCGTTTCTCATGATCCCAGACCTCACCAATCCCTACCTATCCAACGGTTCCCTGTCCCCGAGTGCAAGAACAGTAAGTGTCCCTGTGGATGTGTTGCTCTTTATTCTCTTTTCTTCATTTTGTCGCACGCTGGAGAGAAAAAAACCCGAGAAAAAAAACTTTGGCCGTGCGTAAAAGTTCCTTGTGCACTGCCAGACCGCCATATTCCCTCCGAGTGGCCTCTCAAGGAGTACTAACTACTTCTTTGTTCTTTTTTTGGGGATATACATTTCTCCCTGCCACCCACCCTCGACAGGGCTTGCATTTGACAACTTCTCATTCGGCTCAAAGTTCAGACACATTAGTCATTCTTTTGTATTTTGAATGATTTATGGCAGCTCCATGTCGAAAATACCCTGCAACAATACTGGTTCTTGATTATATACTTCTCTAAGGCTGATTATATCTTATGTGCTTTCACTATTAGTTGGCTTCAAGGGGCACTATTTTGCGCTGTAGAGGCTAGTATTCTTCAACGCAAGATATTAAAAATGTAAGATATTTTTGAATTTGGCTTATTCCCAATAGATTGCTTTCATTTTTGTACTTAGGGTGTTTCAGTGGAGTAATTTCTTTAGCATGCAGGCTTGTAACTCTCAGCTCAATGTATTTCAGGCTCTTCAGGCTTTTGCACGCATTCTCTGTAGACATTTAAAAAAAAAAAAAAGAAGCTGTTCCTGAAGTCATACCCTACAGTAACAACAATGTAATACCCCGCTTTGACACACATGGGAGGCATTTCACTGCAGTGTCCGTGACAGCTGTTGTCCAGAGACTTTTAAAGTCCAGATAAGGTTGACAGTCTGAAGTAAGTGTCGTTGAAGTAGAGTTTGCAATGGTTCATTTACTTGTTGCATCACATCAGTTGTCCACAAAGCTACAACGGGCTTTTAACCACTGCTGTGAGCGCTGCACTGGTTTGTCTGCTGATATTGTGCTCTTTATTTTTACAATATAATTTATCACATACACAACAGGTTAATTAGGCATGGAGACCTTACAATGATTTCACGCCAGTTAGTAATGATGCAAACACGACTAATGAGGCCACACAAGAAAGCTCATGCAAAAAAATCCCACATTAAGGTCCAAAAAAAAAAAACACCCTGTTATACGCTGTGATGATGAATACTGAGTCTAAACAAACATGCAAGATTTTAAGCAAATGAACCAACACTATTTGGAATATTAAATACAGTTTAAGCAGGACTATGCAAACTTCCTTGAAATAATCTCTGCTGGAGAGCTGTGTTCCTCCGAGTTCGTCCATCCCCCAATCCATGTCACCCCCCCCCCACCCCAAAAAAACAAGTACTTTCGTTAAGGCCTGGCAGGCATCTGACTGAAAAGACCCCCCCCCTCCTCCTCCTCCCTTTTCTGTCTCCTTTTCACTGTTCCAGGCCCACTCCCCTCGCCTCCCTCTACCTTCCATTCAATTAGAAAGGCGTTAGTTGACCATTGTTATTCTGAGCAGTCTTGATGGCTTCATTGGAGGTCTCCATTGGGGCTCATTAACTAAATGGCTACTCTGCTCACGCTATACATACTGTGTAGATCGTCTATCTGGTTGCTTTAGGCCACCAGAGTTTCGTAGTCAGAAATCAACATGCTTGAAAATAAAAGTCGTAATATTTTGTGCTTTGTCTGGAGGACTTTTGCAGGAAACTTTAACGGTTGTTTTTGGTACAATTAAGGAACAAACATGATATTCTAAAGTAATAGATTTTTTTTGTCTGTTGTCAAGTCTCCGCTCTGTTTTGTCTTGTGTTTCTGGTATGAATGTCTCTCACTTCCTTGTGTTTTGTCCAGTAAACAAAGTTATTGAAAATGAAAACGGCGTGTTCTTGTTGCTCGAGGCAAAGTAGCAGATAATTGGAGAGGATTTAAAATTCAGAGGTATAATCCTCCACATAAAAAAAAAAAGAAAGAAAAAAGAATGAGGTCAATGGGACAGAGTGAGCTGACACTGTCAATCATCAGTGTGGCAGAAAACATGCAGGCAGACAATAGCTGGCATACTTAGCAGACGTCTTAAGGTCTCCATATTGCACACGGCTCAGTGTGAATGCAGACAATTTGATTGATGAGAGCTTCGACTTAGTACCTTTTTAGGCCCGCATTCTGGGGGTTTGGCTTGTTTACACCTGTGGATGACGTTAAATACTTGCAGATTTACTGGATGATATTAACAAGTGTCCTGCACCCACGTCTGGCCGACAACTTAGTTCAACTAATGAGCTCCACAGTTACATTTATCATGCATTATCATTGAGTGGAATATGCTGATTGGCTCGTGAGATATAATTTGCCTGCAGGGCAACCTCATTTGTGTTGTCACCTCTCTGGTGTGGAGATACAAACAATCCCCGGTGCCTGCAAACAGTTTATTATAGTGTGTGTCTTGGGAAGCCCTGCTGGGACTGACAGATTTGTTTTATAAGCGTGGTGTGGTATGTGGTTGTACTTGGGCTGCATGAGACACATTAAAGTTATGTCTCTTAAACAGATCATGTGATTATTACCAGGCAACGGAATCTACATTTCTAGTTGGAGACCTGCAGTTTCATAGTTCTGAGCGCAATGTAAATATTTTTGTAATTACAGATAGAACATTATGTGCATGTGCGTGAGGCATTTTTACATTTCCTGCATGTATCTATTTACAACTTCCCCATCTGGTGTGACATCTTCGTATGTTGTGTAATAATAAAGCAGCAAATATTCCGTATGTGTAAGTAATAGATACGATATGTTGCTCAAGAGTCGCCGTGCAGTGATTTCATTCCGCAATGTGCTACACGGTGAAGGATTTGAGGCCTGAACTTTTAAATTTGGATGTGGCAACCCTATCATGAGCAATGAGAGACAGGCCTACATGGGATCAGCACAGAGTTCCCCTGAGGGCCAAGCATAACTGATTTAAAGCCTGCTCAGAGCTGACATTCTGCTGTAATCCACTGGGAGCTGAGGAGGAGGTTTTATGTTTGCAGAGATGTTCCACCAGACTTCTGCAGCCCGCTGTGGGGTGCAGAGCCAGAGAGGTTTTTTTTCCTGACAAATCCAGCTTATTGTTTGTCGATTCATTGATGTGATGATCACCGCATTGTTCCTGTAGTGACGGACTAGTGCCAGATTTAATTGGTGAACAACACGCTCTGCTTGACGCCACCACTTGTCAGCTTCATCAGCACTTTTAGATAACTCTGCTAGTACATCATCATCATCACTAAAGGGTGAAATGCCTCTTGTGTGTGAGAGGTGGCGAGTAAGCGAGAGCGAGGCTGGCCGCTCAAATATATCTTCATCAAATACACAGTGGGTCACTTGAACTCCCGAGCATGATTGTTGAATAGAAAATTGTTTGAGATTGAGATATGAATGGAGAGCTTGTATAAGTCTGAACATGTCAGTGGCTGTGATTGCATGCCTGTCTGACTTCTATTCCCCCCCCATTCTTTCTGTTGCTTTTGGTGCTTAAAAATGTGCAGACAAAGAAAAGTCAACACAGACATTGTCCCTCGGAATAAAAGGGCCTCTCCCTGCATAAGCAAACGCTGTTTGCGTGGAGGTGTCTTTTCATCAGGTGGGCTCACTTGGCATTTCACTCACCTTGCTGCGTACGTGTGTGCGAATGTGCACACATTGCGTCCATGCGTGCTGCACGTTTGTGTGTGTAAAGTCTGTGGGAGGGGGTGGAGGGGGTTGAGGGAGGAGAGGGGCTGTTCAGGTGAGGCTCTGTGGATACTTTGCAACAGAGGGAACAGTGTACAGGGCTCACATTCTGACAACCCTCAGTTTTGTGTTCCTGAATGTTAGCGCGCAAATATTTTTTCAACCAAGCGCTGTGTCAACAGAGCTAACATTTTTGACTAGGTTGATAGTTTTTAAAAGATTTTTTCTTCAAAGGCAAACACATCTACATCAATTTAGTAGCTCTGTTCAATTAAAAACAGATCGCCAGCAACCGCAGAAATGCCATCGCTGGCTGAGAGCTCTTGCCTGGAGTGATTAATTTTGGTAATGAACTCAATGCTACGGCTCGAGGAAATTGAATTAAATTTGGCCCCGAAAAAAGTTTTTAAATATGAAATGAATCATTGTTTAGTTTGAAATGGAGGGGGAGATCTTTGGATTTATGTTTGCACACTATATTTAAAAAAAAAAAAAAAAGACGCATTTTAATTGATTGCAGTATAAATTTGTTACATATTTCAATAATTGTATGTCTCAGCAGTTTCTTTTATATTACACAGGGGTAATTAAGGCCAGGTTTAATTAGTGCAACACCAACCAAAGCATTTTATAGTAGTGATTATATTGCTGTAATGTGTTCCACTTTACATGTCATAACACGTATAAATCATTCATTCAAATCAGTAAATGTCACAACTGGAGACAATGCACGTTTTGTAATCCGTAGCTTTAGCAGCTTCACATACAGCCTTTTTCTCGCGGCGTTTTTACAGGAACATGCAGTTTACGGTTGGTTTTCAGTCTGTGGATGATCATGCTCGCTTCCTAACATCACTTGTACAGAACTGTGTGAAATGGTGTCAGTCCTGGTCTGTATCCTTCCCTCTTTGGTCTCTGTGGAAAGCATGAGCTGGCGTCAATTCCTCCCGCTACCCCATAGCCCGCTAGTTCACTACCTAACCCACCCACTCGCCCGCCTGACATTAGAAATTCTGTTTATAGCACTCTCTGGCTTCTCGAGCGCGGGGCCCATCAGGAGCATCTCAGCACCCTTTGAGGAAAGGATAACCAACATCTCCCCTCTCCAGCCGCAGACTCCCCATGTTCAGTGACATCAATGAATCCCTTTGATGTGCCAAGATGAATATGTGTGCAAATGTGTTTTTATCAATTAATGTGTTTTTCTCATTTGCTATGTTTGGACAGAGCTGCTGCACAATTTGGTACGTTGCTTTTCCCTGTGAAAATTTGGCCGAACTTGTGTTTGAGTTGAGAGACATTTAGCCAACGGTGAAACTCTTTGACACACCTGAGTTTACTCCCAAATATCGTTTTTTCTT